GAGTGGAGCTAAAGCCGTGTAAAGTTTGTGTTTGGTCACCTGGTGGACGCTTGATGTGCTGACGTGGACGGAGACACATATCCTCTCTGTGGGAGGTTTACATCGTCACTGCTCTGAGGATCCCCCGCCGTCTGAAACGGGTTTGAACCCCCCAAAAAAGACAGAACTTCTTTAATAACAGAAACTCTGACCTGTCAGGAATGCACACACATTGTCTCCATGACAACGGTCAGACGAGATGGAGCAGCTCCTTCTATACGATTCTTACACTTCAGTTTAAAACCTGACAGCTGGTGTTGCTGCTTCCTGTTTGTTTGTTTACTGCTTCCTGTTTGTTTATTTACTGCTTCCTGTTTGTTTATTTACTGCAGCTTTGTGTAGCGTACACATGATACCAACAACATCATTAGTTAAGATATAACAACATTGGAATCAGTTTCTGTAGCTGCACAGACAGCCTCCCCGACTGGGTTTTAATATTCAAATGTTTTCTGCAGTAATGTTTCTAAGAACCTTCTGCCGGATGTAGAGGGCAGACTTTCCCGCCCCGCTCAGCCTGACGCTCCTGCAGATCTCCTCAGGTGTCAGAGTCGTGACGCTCAGAGGAAGAAGTCGTCTCGATCTGTCGGACGTAAAGAATTCTAACGGTTCCTGATCGACCAGCTGAGGGAAGGTCGACCTGAGCAGGTCCAGGAAGTCCGCCTCCTGTAGTCCGCGAGGACACCTCAGGTCCTTGAGCGGACAGTTTGGAAACACTGAAACAGAAAATAAATCATCGTGAGGTTTAGCTAATCCTTAAAACCAAAAATAGGAAACGTACCTCGGAGGAGAGAAGTCTTACCTCTATTTGAGAGGACATCGATCTGAGAGTTCTCCAGGATGCGGATCTTGAGGTCTAGGTGGTTCTGGGAGTCACTGAGTCGGGGTCTGCCTGGTTTTCTCCTGCCAGAACGAACTCTGCAGGATGAAGATTGTTCCCAGGTAAAAAAAAAAAACTATTTCTGAATTGTTAACTTGTTAAAGTTGTTAATTGTTAAATTGTAACGTCATTGTAGCTACAATGCTAAGCTAACAGAATGCTATCTAAGCCACCAATAGATTAACACCAATCTAGAAAAACTAGTTTGTGAACCCACATGGCATTCCCCTGAGCCACCAACTTGGTTGATTCGGTTCTATTTGAACTAGCATACTGTTATGCTAAGCTAACTATGATATTCTTTGAGACAGCTAACTAATCAAACATCATTAAAGGTAAACTATCATTCGTTCCAAATTGAGAAGTGTAATCCCTGAGCCTTATTATAAACACACCTTCAGCCAAACTAACATACTAAGCAAAAAACAAACGAGTTGAATTCTCAGGTTAGAACCACAAGAAGGTGAAAAGTTTCCTCATTCTGACATTTCTATGAAACGGGTTTGTAACCAGTTAACTGGTTTTACTGGGATTTATTAACCTCTGTGTGATTTGAAAATCGGGGTCCTTCAGGTCTTCTTTTCTTCGTCTTGAACTCGGAGTTGTCAGATGTTCTGAAAGCTGCTGCTCTTCACCTTCATCTTCCTCACCATCCCACCACATGCTCAGACTCCCGGTGTCCTCCAAACCTGCACGAGGTGAGGTCAGAGGTCACACTGTGTCAGGCTGAAACACGTTACCAATAAAAGAACATCGCAACATCATCTGCATAAAGTAACATCCAGGAAGTTAGAAACCAAATCTAGAGTGAAAATATGATGTAATAATCATCTAAAATAAAAGACTTTAAATGATGTACGTTCTTCTACTTTTCAGTTATTACATTTTCTTTATTAAAGGAGCAATATGTAACGGGCACCTAGTGGTTAAAACGGGTACTGCAGTCTAAATTCAAAAGCGCTGTCTCTACATAACATGTTTCCTGAATGTCTGATCAGATAGTAAGATCACTTTATAATTTCACTGACTGGACCTTTAAACTTCAAAGAGACTTTGAAAAAAAGTCTAACACAGAACTTTTCATACTTCTTACAACATATTTAAATAAATAATAATTTACCTGTCTTCTGTGTGTCCTCCTCCTCCTCACTCAGAACAACCACATCCTGACCTGCTTCATCTTGGATCAGAACTTTTCAGGTAAAGTTAAGAAAAAGAAAAGTAGACATTTAAAATAAAAACAGTACAGAAGTTGATGTAGGTTAAACACTGTAAGTTATAATGTGACAACAGGCCCAGAAACCAACCTTCAACCTGATATTAATAACAAAGTAAAGTTAACTTTTATTTGAGCCGAATTGTTATAAACAGCTTGGTAATGAGTATTAATGTTGATCTCCTCTTTGTGAAGTCTTTATTTCTCTCAGCGAGCACAGAAACGTTAAATTTGACTTTTTTCAAATGACGTTCCGCACAAACAACTGGAAATATCAGTTTACCGTCATTATTAGTTGCTCATATTTAAAAGCATTCACTGACCTGTTTTCTCCAGAGTGACCCGAGGCTGCAGGATGACCTCCAGCTGCTTCCTCTGCCGGTCGATCTCCCGTCGGAAGCCCGCCGCCTCCTCCTCGTACCCGGCTACGGTTCGCTCCACCACCGCTAAGATCTCCTGCGCGGCCGTGGTCAGTTTCTCGGTGACGATCCCTCTCAGTATCTCGGATTTAGACATGTTACCGAGTCCGCCCAGAGCCTCCGGCCCCCCGCTGTCCCTCTTCATCCAGTAAAACATCGCAACTTTCAGACAGATTTGTTTTTTTCAACGTTAAACTTCGCACATTTGCGTTGACTGAGTATTTTTCCTGGTTTGGTGCAACCACAAATCATGTCCGACGAGAAACAAAACAATAAGGCAGATGTTTTTTTGTTTTTTTTAAATTACTTAAAAAATCGTATGAAGGATTCATAGATTTACCTTACAAGACAGGCGTGTATGAATAATTATCTTTTTTTTTTTTTTTAAATAACTTCCTTTTTGAATTATAAGCAACATTGGAATTAAAAGGTGAAAAGCTTTGAAGGGGCTTCAAAGTTTTTGCTCTTCAAGTAATGAAAAATTTCTATGGAAGCCCTGAGCGGACAGGCATCCATACATTTTATTTAAATCAGTTTTTAAGAGACGAGAAATTCAGACGATTTAATTTCATTTTCTTTTAGCTTTTAGCATGTCGCTGTTGCCTTGCAATTAGTCTCCCAAACAGATACCACATGAACGTCAATCATTTCCTGTACACAACTTTAGTTTTTGCATGTTAGTCGGAAGCTCTGTAAGTAATATTTCAATCCAGTTTTTAGGACACTTTTAACCATAACGGTTTTAGATCCTGGTTGTTTATGTGTGCTGCTTTTATATACCTCAAGCTTATAGTCATCAGACACGTCCAGCCGCAACAAGCTAGGCTATCACTTACAGTAGGTAGTATCAAAAGGGATTCCACAAGGTTCTGTGCTGGGTCCCTGGCTTTTCACAATACAGTAAATTATATTTCCTCTGTTCTAAATTGTAATAATTTTCAAAATAACTAAAGAACAATGTAAACAAGCAGTTTGAGATGTTTTTAAGAACACAACAAAGGGACAAAGCTTGTGCGTACATTAAACATGTTTTTAATGCATTCTTCAATAAAACAAGATCATGAAAAAACCCAACTACTAAGAACTTAGAAAAGATCAATACACAATCGTCTCCGCCCAAGAGAAGAACGCAAACCTTGTTTTTCATGTTGACCTGAAAACAGTCCGAGGTTCTGTACTTCAGTTTTATTTCATGTATTTATATATATTGTAAAGGACGAGACAGAATGTAACTTTCTAACTCCAACTTTATGACTTTTTGGGTTTTGAAGAATGCGGAAGCACCGTTAAACCCGGTATAAAAGGTGCGTTCCATTTACTTTGGAACTCGGAACTGGAAGCTGAGAATGATGCCCCACCTGTGAACTGGGTTCCAGTTGCAAGTTGGCAACAAGTCGAACCGTTTTTTTTCTTAGCGACGATAACACTAAAAAGGGACTTAGCTGCCAATAAACTCAACAGTTACAGCTTAAACATTACTGTCGATGCACTTAGCAGTCATGCTGGATTTTTAACTCGACTACTTAAGGTTCTCAGAGTTTCCAAGTCGGTATTCTGAATTCAGGGGGGCGTTCATGACGACTTCAGACTGGCGGCTTTCAGACTTCCAAGATCAAATGGAACTGTGGATTTGTGTTTCATATAATTCACTAAATATAGATAATTACACCCAGCTGAGGAAGCCGGTCAAAAACACCCGGCATCAGTTTGTCTCTTAAGAATTTCAGCTTCAGATATTTTTGGCTTCCAAAAGTCTTTTTTGTAAAGTACTAGCCCATTTTTCCTGAGCTCTTTGACTGTTCTTCTCACGACGCTCCAAACGAGGATCCTGATCAAGTTTATAGTCTTGCACACTTTTCACACTATGCCGTGATTTAGATTTAAAAAGTGAACAATATCGATCTACCTCGTGCTCAGACTCTTTGAGCGGGTCACCCGATCAGGAGCGGCTGAAGAATTTTGGAATCCTTCATCTCTTGACTGGATGTCGTCCTTTCCCTGTAAGAGATTTGTTTTAGAGTTATCCGTCCAGAAAGAAGAAACAGCCTCTTTACTTACATTAAACATCGTGTGACACTTAAAGAAAGCAGAAAGAGTACCTTCAGTCGGATGTAGACGGCTGATGAGGATCTGTTGACTGGAGGATCTCCTCGGGCGTTATCGTCTTGACTTCTAAAGCTTCCAGTTTCCTGGCTTTGTCTGATTTATACAAGTCAAACGCCATCGCACCAAGCTGTGGAAAGGTGGAACCCAACAGGTCCAGGAACTCCGCCTCCTTCAGGCCTCAGCCAGCTGGTGAAGCTGGACCTGAGCAGGGTCAGAAACTGGTCCTCCTGCAGTCCTACAGGAAACTCCAGCTTCTTCACGGGGAAGATGTTCAACATTGGAACACAACGACGGCGTCAAAGTCGAGTCGAGATAAAAGCACGATGCTTCAAAACCAAAGTTCAGAATCAGAAATACTTTATTAATCCCAGATGTTACCATTGCTCTTCAAAGGAATACAGCAGTAGGAAATAAAATAGAATAAGCAGTAAGTACCAAGTAGGGCTACAATAATAAGATATATATACAAGATAAATCAATATTGACATTCTGAATGTACAAGATGAACTGTGTTTAACAGATATTACACAGTGTGGTAACCAGTTTGCAGTTTCAGAGTTAAATAAATATTAACTAATATAATAATATATTCCCCGGATGACTTCAGGTTCACCGCAGAAGTCAGTGATGATGACTGACTACTTATTGACTTTCAATTTACAGATTATAAAAATATTTGATCTTTGACTTCAGAGATGAACTCTGATGGAAAAAACAGCAACGATGACTATTACACCACAAAGAGAAATCGAGAGACTTGATTCAACGAGACAGAAACCAGAGCGGTCGGCGTTAATGCAATAATCACGATGTAGTTAAAGGAAACTGATGCAGTCTATTTTAATTTGCATTAATCATTATTTTGTCCCTTTAGCAGCTCATGCATGTAAGTGAGGGGGCGTGGCTTTAGAGGGAGCACAAAATCATGCTAAAAATGACCAACCCAGGAAACATGCTCACACACTGCAGTACCTGTTTTAAACACCAGGGGGTCAGAGTTACACAGAAACCAAACAGATTCACTTGCTACAAAAACAAAGCAAACGCAACGCATCAGTGCGACCTTAAAGAAGCTGCCGGTCACCTTCAGCCGGTGAAGAAGGTCCAGAGCCTGGTGGTTCTGAACATCTCCTCGGGCGTCAGCGTCTGGACTTCGAGCGGCTTCAGTTTCCCCCAATTTTCTGTGAACAAGTCAAAACGTGTCGGAGCGGCCAGCTGAGGGAACGTGGACCTCAGCAGGTTCAGGAAGTCCTCCTCCTGCAGAGCGCGAGGACACTTCAGCTTGTGTGACGGGAACCGGCTGAACGCTGAAACAGAATAAGTTCTGATCAGAACCAGCTCACTCTCGATCCTTCACTGATTTATTTCAGATTTTAAAGGTAGATGATATAATTTACAGTTCGGGCTGGTGATGTCGGCAGGGGGATTATGAGGTAGGATGCGGATCCAGAGGTGGATGTGGTCTCCTGAGTCACTGCTCTGACCGCTGATACTGCGCCTCCTGTCAGACCGGACTGTGGGAGTCGAAAACCTGCGAGTGGAAGACAGAATGTCAAGAGTTAAATCAGGCTGATCGGACCGGGCGGCTGGACGGTCGAGTCTCAGACTGGATCACTTGTGCGTCACCTTTCAGTTTCTTTTTCTTCTGGTTCTGTGAAGAAATCCGTCGCCTCCTCCACCTCGTAGTCGCCCTCCTCCACCTCGTGGTCGCCCTCCTCCACCTCGTGGTCGCCCTCCTCCACCTCGTAGTCGCCCTCCTCCACCTCCACCTCGTAGTCGCTCTCCTCCACCTCGTAATCGCCCTCCTCCACCTCGTAGTCGCCCTCCTCCACCTCGTAGTCGCCCTCCTCCACCTCGTAATCGCCCTCCTCCACCTCGTAGTCGCCCTCCTCCACTCGTAATCGCCCTCCTCCACCTCGTAATCGCCCTCCTCCACCTCGTAGTCGCCTCCTCCACCTCGTAATCGCCCTCCTCCACCTCGTAGTCGCCCTCCTCCACCTCGTAGTCGCCCTCCTCCACCTCGTAATCGCCCTCCTCCACCTCGTAGTCGCCCTCCTCCACCTCGTAATCGCCCTCCTCCACCTCGTAGTCGCCCTCCTCCACCTCGTTCTCGTTCTCCTCCTCCTCGTTCTCCTCCTCCTCCTCGTTCTCCTCCTCCTCGTTCTCCTCCTCCTCCTCGTTCTCTCCTCCTCCTCCTCCTCGTTCTCCTCCTCCTCCTCCTCCTCGTTTCTCCTCCTCCTCCTCCTCCTCCTCGTTCCTCCTCCTCCTCCTCCTCCTCGTTCTCCTCCTCCTCCAGCCGCTGGCTCACTCACAGGAAACTGATCATCTGGATGAGTAACTTTTCAGAACTACCGTCCTGCAGTGTTTCCTTTAGGTTTACAGCGTTGGGGGCGACACGCCAACACAGACACTTGAATGAATCTTTTAATGACAGCTGTCCTGTTCTATGTGAAAGGAATCCTTAAATGATTTCAGACTCTATCCTCTCTCTACAAGAAAGGAACAAAAAGACCAAAAATACATCTTTAAAAAACTAAATATAAATATATATTTATATATAAATACATATAAATATTTATACAAACACTGTCCTGAAAATCTGTAGATCATCTCAGGGGGACTGCCCCACTAGGACCAGAAGAGGGGGTCCGCCCCACTAGGACCATAAGAGGGGGACCGCCCCACTAGGACCAGAAGAGGGGGACCGCCCCACTAGGACCAGAAGAGGGGGACCGCCCCACTAGGACCAGAAGAGGGGGTCCGCCCCACTAGGACCAGAAGAGGGGGTCCGCCCCACTAGGACCAGAAGAGGGGGACCGCCCCACTAGGACCAGAAGAAGGGGACCGCCCCACTAGGACCAGAAGAGGGGGACCGCCCCACTAGGACCAGAAGAGGGGGACCGCCCCACTAGGACCAGAAGAGGGGGTCAGTCTGACCTCCTCCTCCTTGTAGACAGTCCAGAGGATAAACTTATCTTTTTATATTTAAGAGTGAACAATAACATATAAAGTCTTTAAGGAGAGTAAACAGGAAGTGACCTCAACACGAACCTAAAACCTGTCTTGAGCTGGAGGAGGACCCCCAGCTGGACCCTCTGCCGGTCTATCTCCTGCCTCAGACCCGCAGCCTCCTCCTCGTAAAGAGCCACGGCTCTCTCGACCACTGCACATATCTCCTGCGCAGCTTCTGAGAGTTTACAAGTTACGGCTCCTCTTAAAACGTCAGCTTTAACAAAGAGGAATTAAACTACCTCAACTCCACGAAAGATGGCGATAAAGATACATCCCCACTTCAGTTCTTCTTTCGGATTGGCAGACGCGACGAAGTATTGGCGCCCCCCACAGTCCGTCTTCATCAATCATTTGAGAGGGGTCTGACTCCCAACGGTACTTCTGGTCCTGACAGTGGAGGTCTGCAGACTGCAGAACAAACTCTCTATTCATTTAAAGTTCTACAATTTATCTAAAGAGACATCAGAGAGTAAGAAGAACACAAACAGAGAGAGAGGAGGGAACAATGTGAGGAAGAGCAAACCATCAGCTTTGAGTCTGATTGGACACACAGGTGCTGACAGGAAGTGACCACAGGTGCTGACAGGAAGTGACCAGAGGCAAAGCCCTTGCTTTCTCTAAGAGCAGCGATATTGAAAAAAGGAAATAAGACAAAACAAAACGTTTTGTTGTTTTTTACTTTATGAAAGTCACACTTTCCCTTAAAAACAACAAATCTCAGTTCCAACATCGATATCGTCTCTTTGTTCCATTTCCCATTAAATGTTTTACAAACCATTACATCGTTTTTATTTGACATTTTACACAGCGTCCAAACTCGTTGATTTGTTGGAGTTCAGTTTAGTGACCGACATGACGTTAAGTAAATCCACGACATGAACAAGTCAATGTTGACGTGTTGGATTACCTTTAATGTCAGAGGCAGCGTGGACACCTCGTCCAACACAAACACACGCCATCATGTGCTCTCCAGTTTCTACCAATCAGCTTCACTCATTCTGAACTTCTGAGGACGCTGCATTCGTTTGGTCTTAGATTCTTATCTTAGATTATAAATGATCTTATAAACTTTGATATAAAAAGTCTAATAAAGTTTTTTAAACGTTGACGTGATATAAAGAGTTCAGTCCATCGTCCCGCCCCCCGCTGACTCCTCCCCCTCCCGGTGCTTCTTCATGTGAGTCTTCAGACAGTGGCTCTGAGTGAAGCCTCGCTCACACACGGTGCACTTGTATGGTTTCTCTCCGTTGTGGGTCCTCATGTGGACACTCAGGTGTTCTCTTCGTGAGCACGCCTTCCCGCACACGCCGCACACAAACGGTTTGATGCCGGCGTGCGTCTTCAGGTGGGACGTGAGGAGACTCCTGGCATTAAACGTGCGTCCACACTCGGAGCACTTGTAGGGTCTCTCTCCGCTGTGGACCAACAGATGTCTGCTCAGCGCTCCTTTTGAAGACAGTCCCTTCCCACAGATGCTGCACACGGTCTTTTTCCCGCCGTGTGTTTTCAGGTGAACACTCAGAATACTTTGAGAGTGAAACGTTTTGCAGCAGACGTCACAGAGGAACGTTTTATCTCTGACCGTGTGGATCTTCTCGTGTCCTCTCACTGCTGCAGGAGTTAAAAACTTCTTCCCACACACCGGACAGCTGTAGCGTTTTTTCCCGGAGTGACTCATCTTGTGTCGGGACAAAGAGATGAGGTCGAGGACGGACTTCCCGCACAGGTCGCAGGTGTACGGCTTCTCACCTGTGTGGCTCACAGCGTGAGTCCTCAGCTGCTGTTTGAACGCAAACGTTTTATCACAGACGTCACATCTGTGTGGTTTCTCCTCCACGTGAACCAGTCGATGATTCCTCAAAGTGTTTTTTGACGCATATTTCTTCAGGCAGACGTCACACTCGTACGGTTTCTCTCCCGTGTGAAGGACGGCATGTCTCTGAAAACCGACCACAGACAGGAAGTTCTTCCCACAGACGTCACAGCTGAATGTTTTCTTGTGACTCTCCAGATGAGTCCTCAGCTCCTCTGGAGTCTCTGACTGTTCTCCACAGACTCCACACAGTCTCTCTGGATCCTCCACGTGACTCCACGAGTGTTTGATCAACATGTTCTCTGAGCCGCTCAGAGCTCTGCACACTTTACACGACACAGGAACACCGCTGCTATCACTCGCTACCTTCACAGATGACTTGATCTGTTTCCTTCTCTTTGATTTGACTCCTGAATCTTTGACTCTTTTTCTCTTTGTTATCTCTGAAGAGTCCACTTTCTCCTCTTTCTCCTCTTTGTCTGGTTTCCACTCCTCTTCTTCTTCTTCTTCTGCCTCGTTGTCGTCCTCCTTGTGGTTGCTGTCGGCTGCAGAGCGAGCAGAAGAGAGGGCGCTGAAGTCCTCTGATGTTCCACATTGTTCCCCATCTTCCTCCTTCTCGACTTGTTGTTTCTGTCTCGAGTCTCTTGATCGCTCGCTCTCCTCTCCTGCAGGATCCTTAAGAGACCTGAAGATGGAGGAACAGTTTCTTTATTCTGAAGACCCCTGAGGCTCTGTGTCACATTTCTCTGTCTTTAGACTCACTGTGCGTGTGGCCGTGTGTCATGGACGCCGTCGTCTTTCATCGCTGACGAGGGGGGACGCTCCTCCTCCTGACCCCTCGGCGTTTCCTGTGCTGCCTGAAACAATTCAAACATGAAGACATCAAAGCTCTGACTCATGTCAGGTGGACAGGTTGGACACGCATCACAGGTCGGATTCAGACCCGCTTTAAGGGGGCGCACGCACTAAACCGCTAGTCCACCGGCGCCCCTTTATTTGTATTTTCATTTATCAGAGAAAATCAGCATCAGGATCAGGATCAGGATCAGGATCAGAATCAGAATCAGAATCAGAATCAGGATCAGAATCAGGATCAGGATCAGAATCAGGATCAGAATCTGGGTTTATTTCCAAGTACATTTACACATAAAGGAATTTGACTTGGTGTATTGGTGCGAAACAATTAACAAGGAAATAAAACAGAACTAACAACAACTTCAATAATACAGAAGAAGAAGATATTACAATATATAAAATAGAATTTAAACATGTAAAATATAAAAACCATGCCATGTAGGAGCTGAGCAGTGGATCACAGCCAGCTGAACAGTGTAATGACCTGCAGCGTGTCCTGACAGGATGTAGTACCTGGACTCGGATGTAAAGAGCGGACCGTCCTCTCCCCGTCGACTTGATGGACCTCCGGATCTCCTCGGGTGTCAGGGTCTTTACTGTGAGAGGTGTCAGACTCCGGTGGGCGTCGACTGTGAACGCATCAAACTGTCCCGTCAGCTGAGGGAAGGACGCCCTCAGGAGGTCCAGGAAGTCTGCCTCCTGCAGGCCTGGAGGACACATGACCTCCTTCACCTGAGACTGAGACACTGAAACGCAAACACAGAAAACATTCAAAGAACAAACTGGATTTTTAGCTTTCAGCCTTTAAGAGCCTCGAGGTGGCTTTTAGCTCTCACTGATTGGGTCACCAGGGGGGGCGTGGCCTCCTGTGGTCTGAGCCGGGCTGAACAAAGCTTCACTGAACACCTCCGACATCGTGACATCTCGTTTCTTACCTCCTCTTTTCAGGACGCTGATGGTGGAGTCCTCTAACAGACACACTGTGAGGTTTATAGAGGACGACTTCCTGCCTCTCATCTTCTCTGGCTCCTCCTCCTTTTCTTCCTCCTCGTCTTCCTCCTCAGCATGATCTAAACCGGCCCGGCTCCCCGAGTCCTCCCCACCTGAACCAAACCAGCAGACATAAGTTTCCTGTTCTTTATAAACATGAGAGGGAAAAGAGAACTGAAGTATTAAAGATCCTGAAAGTTCCAGACACACGTTTGAGCTGCTCGTCCTCCTCTTCTTCCTCTTCTTCTTCTTCTTCTTCTTCTTCTTCTTCTTCAGGTTCATCTGAATCACAGAATCAGGTTCAGTAAACTTCACCTGGACGCTTTCTGTTAGAGCACGATGATGTAAAGACTGTAAATAAACACTTTGCACGTGTTTCATACGACAGGTTCAGGGGAAGGTCGCGCACTCGGACCAATCAATGGATTTTTCTAAACTAGACGTTAGACATGAGTTTGTTTAACCAATCAGCAAGCTCCTGTGATCGAGTAATGAAGCCAAAGTGTAACAACCTGCAGTTCCTGGAGTGTCCACTAGAGGCTGGCTGCAGAAGCACAGGAAGTCACACACACACCCATTCTAAAAAGCCTGTTTTTACAGCAGAGATGAACATGTTTACAGCCTTTTCTTCTTTTTGTGTCATTAAAGAATTAAGATAAAAACATATAAACGTGTTGTTATCTTCTGGATGTTATTGGCGAGGTTAGAAAGAGTAAATCATTTATTTTTTATTTTCCTGTTGAATAAGTGAACTGACTTCATCACTTCCCCACCTATCCGACACAGAGACACTCGAGGCTGCAGGATAGCCTCCAGCTGGATCCTCTGCCGGTCGATCTCCTGCCTCAGACCCGCCGCCTCCTCCTCGTAACCGGATACGGTTCTCTCCACAACCGCGAAGATTTCCCGCGCTGCCGTCGTCAGTTTCTCGGTAACGATTCCTCTCAGTAACTCAGTTTTAGAAAGTTTACAGTCCACCGAGGAAACAAATATCACGTTTACGGCTTCCATGTTTATACCGTGTGTGCGCATAGTAATGTTGTCCGACTGAAAACAAACCAGACGAAAGGTTCCGCTCAAATTCTTCTTCTGTAATGTTTGAAATCACTGATGTTTTATATAAAGACTGCAACCTCGTGGACTAATTATTAACTAACAAGTCAAAATAAATGTATTGTCTGCATGTGTATTTATGTGTTAATATATTTGCTTTAAGCATTTTTAGATATTTGAAACATGACCAAACTTTCTCTTTCTTTCTCTTTTATCTATAAATCATACATTGCAGTCTGTTTTTAAAGAAATACTTTTTAGTATTTTTGATGTCTTCATTGTTTTAGGAGCCTTAATGTTCCTCGTCTTGTCTGGACTGTGACATGCTGCAAAGGGTTAATAAAGTTTGTATCTTTTTTTTTTTTTTAAAGATTTATTTTGGGCTTTTCGTGCCTTTAATGCAGAGAGAGGACAGTGGATAGAGTCTGAAACCAGAGAGAGAGAGGACAGTGGATAGAGTCTGAAACCAGAGAGAGAGGACAGTGGATAGAGTCTGAAACCAGGGAGAGAGAGAGGACAGTGGATAGAGTCTGAAACCAGGGAGAGAGAGAGAGGACAGTGGATAGAGTCTGAAATCAGAGAGAGAGAGAGGACAGTGGATAGAGTCTGAAACCAGAGAGAGAGAGGACAGTGGATAGAGTCTGAAACCAGAGAGAGAGAGGACAGTGGATAGAGTCAGAAACCAGAGAGAGAGAGAGGACAGTGGATAGAGTCTGAAACCAGAGAGAGAGAGGACAGTGGATAGAGTCAGAAACCAGAGAGAGAGAGAGGACAGTGGATAGAGTCAGAAACCAGAGAGAGAGAGGACAGTGGATAGAGTCTGAAACCAGAGAGAGAGAGGACAGTGGATAGAGTCTGAAACCAGAGAGAGAGAGAGGACAGTGGATAGAGTCAGAAACCAGAGAGAGAGAGAGGACAGTGGATAGAGTCTGAAACCAGAGAGAGAGAGGACAGTGGATAGAGTCAGAAACCAGAGAGAGAGAGAGAGGACAGTGGATAGAGTCAGAAACCAGAGAGAGAGAGGACAGTGGATAGAGTCAGAAACCAGAGAGAGAGAGGACAGTGGATAGAGTCAGAAACCAGAGAGAGAGAGGACAGTGGATAGAGTCAGAAACCAGAGAGAGAGAGAGAGGACAGTGGATAAAGTCTGAAACCAGAGAGAGAGAGAGGACAGTGGATAGAGTCAGAAACCAGAGAGAGAGAGAGGACAGTGGATAGAGTCAGAACCAGAGAGAGAGAGAGAGGACAGTGGATAGAGTCAGAAACCAGAGAGAGAGAGGACAGTGGATAGAGTCAGAAACCAGAGAGAGAGAGAGAGGACAGTGGATAAAGTCTGAAACCAGAGAGAGAGAGAGAGGACAGTGGATAGAGTCTGAAACCAGAGAGAGAGAGAGGACAGTGGATAGAGTCAGAAACCAGGGAGAGAGAGCGGGGAATGACATGCGGAAGGGGGCCACAGGTGGAGGCGAACCCGGGCCTACCGCTCGAGACGAGAGTCTCAACAAATGGGACGCGCGCCCTGCCACTGCGCCACCAGCGCACCCCAAAGAAGTTTGTATCTATTCAAAATGTGTTTATACATTAAATTAATAAAGAAAAAGGAGGGGAAATACTAGGGCCAAACTGATATAATATTTTTGGAGCTGATGTCAATAAAAAAATCAGATACCAATATCTTTCTTAGATCTAAACATCGCACAAAAAGTCGGGAAATTTGTGTTTGGTAGATTATTTCTTTGTTGTAACAATTCTTGACAATAAATCTTAAACCGTTGGAAAGTCGGTTTATTTCCCTTTTTAAATGGTGCCACATTTGTAAGGAACATGTATTTGTGAGATAAGCAGCAGAGCTGACTATGTGGTTTGCGCCCTTGGAAAACTTGCCATGTTTATGTTCGAGCTGTAGAGGTAGATTTACATCAAAAATCTGTAACAGTCGCCTCTTTTCAGACGTGAATTAGCTCTGCCGTCATCACGTCTTTGTACATTCATATTGATTCAAAGACGCCGTGATACTTGTGTCCAAGTCAGTGAAATCACATTGCGTTTCGTCAGCTCCACCTAAACACACAGTCAAACACACACACAGCGCTGCACTCCCTCGCCTCACATTCACCCTCAGAAACTTCACAAATACTGGTCTCCAGAGAGTGAAGATCTCATAGGCTTTGCTTCCGCTTATTCCAAACTGTTTAGCAAAGTCTGTAAACATCAACCAGGACGATGCCTCATTAGGACAAAGAACAGTTCATCATGGACTGCCAACGTGGTGATCCTTGGCTGAGGGAGAAAAGCCTATAGGCTGCACGAAAACCAGCAAGTCTTTACCGTCAGAGTCAGAGGCTGACATCGACAGGCCAGGATCAGTTTATGTTGCTCTGTCTGTCGTTGATAAGTTAGAACAGTAGGTGTGGTCTTTAACGTCCGGCAACTGGACGCCAACTTCACACTTCTGCTGAGGCTGATTTTCCAAATCCTCCGTTTTCACCGCTATTTCAGATTCCGTGACTTCCTGTTCAGCACGTGTGGTCACTATCGAGGGTTTAAGGCGTCTTTTCTTGGGAGGTGGTCTACCAGATGAAAACCCCTGAGGAACGACAGAGGAGAAATAAATTAGCATATTTATTTATATCTTGCTGAAAAATTTCTATCTTGTTTAGCACCAATACACCAAGTCAAATGTGTAAATGTACTTGGCAATAAACCCTGATTCTGATTCTGAAAAAGGAATAAAAGATATGATCACCTCCCAAAAACAATGGAAGCAAACTTACAGGATGTTCATATCCCATGTGCAGGATCGGGTACGGGTGTGCTTTCCTTGGTTGGCCGTCCTTGAAGTGAATTCCACACACCTTAAAAGTGGAAGAGCAAAGAAGATGAGTAGCAAATACTTGACTTTAGTTTGTGATCCCTAACCACTTCCTGTTTCTGTGCTTAGGTTCCTGTCCTAACGTTCCATCTACCAGATGGCATTACTTTATTTCAAAATAAAAGCACACAGCAAGTAAAGTACTCTCAGCTTAAGACTGTATAAAAATTCAAAATAAAAGCCTAAGGGGCGCTGTTCGCGTAGTGGTAAATGCGTGCGCCCCATGTGCGGAGGTGGTGTTCCTCAGGGCAGGCAGTCCCCACTCTCTCTCTCCCTGAACTCCGGCTCTGTCCTCTGTCTGATCTCTACACTGAAGGCACAAAAAGCCTAAAAATAAAGCTCTAAAATAAATTAATTTCATTTTTAAATGCTAAATAACGGAATTTCAAACATCCGATTAATCTCAATTAACTATTGAAATTAAGCACTTAATCGTTTGATCGCCCTCATTATAACGATTGTGTTGGACGACCGGCGGCCAAACGGTGTCAGACTACAGACTAACGCTTACGTTAGCTTTGCTAGCTAAACGATGCTACTCGTTTCACCGTGCTCGGGTCAGCAGCTCAAAAGATTATTCATTGATAATCTTTGATAAAATTAAAATGATAAAAAAATAAAAAAAATAAAAAATAAAATATAAAATATATAAATAAATAAATATATAATAAAAGTAAAATTAAATAAAAAATAAAACTGATAAAAAGATTATTCATTGTAAACGAAAACCCACCGTGCTGTGTCTACTGGGGACAAAGTCCTTCCTGTTGATGTTCTTGATCCACTGCTGGTGAACAGCCGCCTCCTCTGAACGCCCGGGGAATCTGTGCAAACCGTACGGTCTCAGGCACAGACACTCGTCGTGCAGTAAAGGTTTGTGTTCTGAGCACTCGCTTTTGTTCCAGACTTGGAGTTTGCCGCTGTTGTTGGAGCAGCCAATCACTGCACAGGATCTCCCCGAACGCCCTGACAGACAAGAGGACAAACGTTTACTTCTTCAGCTCGCACAGCTTGCACTCAAACGCCACCGCAGTAATGGTGGCTCATCAACTTCCAGTTTCTCCAAGCAAAGTCTACAGACTCAGAACCAGCACAATGAGTTTCAAAGCACTTCCAACATCCTGACGCGTCGTCTTACCCGCCCGTTTGGGTTTCTTGACCTTGGCGTCCTGTAACAGACGCACTCTGAGGTTTAGATTAGCCCCTTTCCCACTCCTCTTCTCCAAAGTCCGACTTCTGCAAAAGAAACAAATGAATCAAAGAAAGTCTCAAACAATCCTTCACTGAGTTCTGTGTATCAGTCAGAGCTGACGATGCATCATGTCTGAACCTTTTACTGGAGTTCTGATGATCCTGGTCCATCTCGTCTTTGTGACACAGGGACCAAACGCCTCCTCGGGAAGCTCCTCCTCCCCCACATATTCACCCTCGTCTTCCTCAGTGTGGGCCAAGTTATCATAGGTCTTTAAGTCCTCCCCATCTGAACCAAAAGAAGAACAGAGCTCAGAATAACAACTTTTCAGTTTAAAAACATCAAATGTACTGAAACAGAACTCCAGTAAACAAACAGGACGTACGTGTCTGCTGCTCCTCCTCCTCCTCCTCTGATACTTCATCTCCCCAAAGCGCCTCCTCTTTACACACAGGTTCATCTGGATCACAGATAAAGGCTTCATTTATTTGTTCATGTATCTGTGTTCGTTTATTAGTGGTGTAACCACGCCTCACGCCATATGACAGCTGGATCATGTCCAGCCCCCCCGAGAGGGAGAAACGATTTCTAGATTTATTCACCAGTCGAACATCGTTTCATCTGCTGAGTGACCATCTTGTCTTCATTATAAATCTTTTCCACAAGATGTTTGATAACTGAGGGATAAACACAATCAATAAATCTCTCTACAGATCTAAGAAAGAAATCGGCCGATCTGTCGGTATCAGATTTTTTCTCTTCCTAATATCGATATCAGTCGGCCCTGTATTTATTACTGTTGTTATTCTGTTTTACTGGTGGGACCGCTGCTGGTGGAGTTGGTCGTCTGTGAACAGGAAGTTGGGGGTTTGATCCCCAGCTCCTGCAGCAACATGTCCGATGTGTTGCTCCTGCTGCTTTGTTAGAGGTGTATGAATGTTTATGAATGGATGAGTTAATACTGATGGACTCTTCAATTCGTTTTAATTTCCCTAAAGTTAAATACATGAGTGCAAACTTGCCAGAAAGCTTTAAGCTTTAACTAGAACTCAATAACCAACCAATGTGTCGTACATCTCGAGGACTCAATAAGACACCGTGGAGTCAAATTATGGAACACACATATTTATTTACTTAATGATCTTTTGTCTTTTTCTAAAATACAAATTGAGACTCAGAAAGATTTGTAGTGAATTGTCCTGATTTTGTTATATTGTCTACATACTGTATGTCCTGCTTTGCTCTATTTTTATGTTTTCAATGTTTGTATTATTTGTGATACTAATGATTCTTACTTTGTTATTTTTTACTGTATTTTATTTTAACTTTGTTTAATCTCTTAAGTTGAGGTTTTGAGATAAACCCTCACCTGCACATGTGTTTTATTTTTTATTTGTTTGAATTTTCTGTTTGACTCTTCTTTCAAAAAATGTGCAAATAAATTAAACTAAACTAATAAACTTTATTTAGTTTATTTAGTTTCCCCTCTGGGGATCAATAAAGTACTATCCTAAACTAAAACTAAATAAACTAAACTAAATAAACTAAAACTAAATAAACCAAACAAACTAAACTAAACAAACTAAATAAACTAAAACTAAATAAACTAAAATTAAATAAACTAAACTAAATAAACTAAACTAAATAAACTAAACTAAATTAAATAAACTAAAACTAAAATTAAATAAACTAAACTAAATAAACTAAACTAAACTAAATAAACTAAACTAAATTAAATAAACTAAAACTAAATAAACTAAACTAAACAAAATTAAATAAACTAAACTAAACAAAATTAAATAAACTAAACTAAATAAACTAAACTAAATAAACTAAATAAACTAAACTAAACAAACTAAATAAACTAAACTAAACAAACTAAACTAAACTAAACAAACTAAATAAACTAAACTAAACAAACTAAACTAAACTAAACAAACTAAATAAACTAAACTAAGCAAACTAAACTAAACTAAACAAACTAAATAAACTAAACTAAACAAACTAAATAAACTAAACAAACTAAATAAACTAAACAAACTAAATAAACTAAACTAAGCAAACTAAACTAAACTAAATAAACTAAACTAAACTAAAAAACTAAACTAAATAAACTAAACTAAATAAACTAAACTAAACTAAACTAAACTAAACTAAACTAAATAAACTAAACTTTGCTTTCTGTCCTCGCCTGGCTCTTTTATGTGTCGTTACCCAAAGTGACCACATGGGGGCGTCAGAGCTCCTGTGTTTGCCTGGTCTCTCGGTTGTCCCTGATCCTGTGATTTATAAAGTTTTATAAGTCTGAATTTCACAAACAAGCTGAACATGAGGAGACCTGAAGATGATGTTCTGATGACTGGAAGTTCATAAAGAGGAGTTCACTTCCCCACCTATCCGACACAGAGACACTCGAGGCTGCAGGATAGCCTCCAGCTGGATCCTCTGCCGGTCGATCTCCTGCCTCAGACCCGCCGCCTCCTCCTCGTAACCGGATACGGTTCTCTCCACAACCGCCAAGATTTCCCGCGCTGCCGTCGTCAGTTTCTCGGTAACGATTCCTCTCAGTAACTCAGTTTTAGAAAGTTTACAGTCCATAAAGTCCACAGGAGAAACAGCCATCACCTTAACTCCCTCCATTTTTGTCATCATGCGCTTAATGTTGTCCGAGTGAAAAAAAGCAACCGGATGAAAGGTTCCGGGTTCCGCTACACTTCTTCTTCTGTGGTGTTTAATGGCATGTTGCATTACCGCCACCTACTGAGTGGAGAGAATAACACTTCTGATATTAACATGAACTCTTCTTCTGTTTGATTTGTAAACCAGCAAATCAAAATGTGTTAAATGAAGGTACGATGTGTTTATTACATTCTAATATCTGAAAACATGAAAGTTTAAAAAGACAAGAAAAGATTTTAATATTATAATAATATAATATAAACACACACACACACACACACACACACACACACACACACACACACACAATGTAGTAACAGCTGAAGCAGATTTACAACGCCATGGCTCTCAACACGTTAAGGAGTTTTAAACGCCGTGAGAACTTCATGAAGGTCTCGTCTCGGATCAAAAGCAGTTACTCGGTCTGGTCTTGGTCTCAGACTGGGCGGTCTTGACCTGCCTTGGTCCTGGTGTTGCCTCAGGTCTCGGAGCTCTCTGGTCTGGGGTCTTGGTCTCTGTTAGTGCGGTCTACCATAACCACAGACTGCACTCAGTTTAGACTCTTTCTTCTTCATCGTAGATCGTAGATCGTTGGCCTGGGCTGCTGAAAGTTGTCAGAACGTCTCGTTCAGAGCAGCAAAACCACGTCCCGGGATCTTGCCAACATCTGAGCATCTCAGCCGACGTTTAGTCCAGACCTCCAACATCGCAACATGATATCTATGAACACAACAGATCTCGTTTCATAAAGAAACATTAAAGGCTTTATATGTGATATTTTTGATCCAGCAGATGTCGCCCTTGAGCACCAGCATGAACCAAAACAACTCACGCTGCATTGTTGTTTAGCATGCTAATGCTAGCGATCTTTATTCTGCTGGTATCTCCACTGCATGTAAATTTACCTGAATGAGCGTGATCTAGAAACACAGTTAAGGTGAGTACAGTATGTTATTCTTCTTTTCTCTAGTCCCTCAATTAAACAACTTTTATACACGAGGGAGGAGTCAGCCGGCCGTCCGGGCGATGTAAACAAAGTGAAGATAGGACTCTGAAAACTCTGAAAACATCACAGACAGGGACTCGGGTGTTACACCCATTGTAGACAGTCATGACTCACAGAGTTATTTTCAGAGGAGATACTTGATTTATATATTTAGTGTTAAACATCACATATAAAGACTTTAACACTTTGATGTTACCACTCTGATCTGTGAATGTTCACACTCCAACCACATGTGGTCACGTCTATGTTCACAGAAAACAAAGGTGGATACAGATTTATATTTTGGATAATGTTTGAACGTCTGCACACGACCCTAAAGAGTTCAGTCCGTGGGCCGCCCCCCCACTGACTCCGCCCCCCTCTGGTGCCTCTTCATGTGCGTCTTCATGGAGTGGCTCTGAGTGAAGCCTCTCCCACACACGGGTGCACTTGTACGGTTTTCTCTCCATCGGGGTCCTCATGTGGTTGGTTCAGGTGTTCTTTACGGAAGAACGCTTCCCGACACCTGACACACGTGAGGTTTGACGCCCGAGTGGAACTTGAGGTGGAAGCTGAGGTGACCGTTACAGATGTACGTGCGTCCACACTTGTAGCACTGAAGGGTCTCTCTCCGCTGTGGACCCTCATGTCGTGCTTCATGTGCGCACTCGATGATAACGCCTTCCCGCACACGCTGCACACGATCTTCTCCTCGCTGTGCGTCTTCAGGTGAGCGTTCAGCTGACCTCGCGTCTGGAACATCTTACAGCAGACGTCACAGAGGTGCATCGGGTTTCTGTCCGCGTGACTCTTCTCGTGCCGCAAACTTCTCCTCGGGTTAAAAAGTGCTTCCCGCAGACCGGACAGTCGTGGCGTTTCCCGCGGAGTGGAACAGCTTGTGTCGGGATAACGCTCGCAGATCGCGGAGGGATTTCCCGCACAGGTTGCAGGTGTACGGTTTCTCTCCCGTGTGCAGCCGGCTGTGGATCCTCAGCAGCTCTTTGAACTTAAAACGACTTGTTACACACTTCACATCTGAACGGTTTCTCCTGCGTGTCTGTCTCGACTGATGAGTCCTCAACGTGCTCTTGAAGGAGAACGTCTTGTTGCAGACGTCACATTGAACGGTTTCTCCCCCGTGTGTTGGAAAGAATGACCCTGCAGACTGTAGACCGACAGGAACTTCTTCCCACAGACGTCACAGCTGAATGTTTTCTTGTGACTCTCCAGATGAGTCCTCAGCTCCTCTGGAGTCTCTGACTGTTCTCCACAGACTCCACACAGTCTCTCTGGATCCTCCACGTGACTCCACGAGTGTTTGTTGATCAACTGTTCATCGTGGCGCTCAGAGCCGGGCAGACTCTGCAGGACAGGGGAACGCCGCTGGTCTCAGCCGACGCCTTCAGAGGCGACTCGGTCTGTTTCCTCTGTGAGGACTCAGGTTTGGGTTTCCTCTCTTCGATGTCTGGTTTCCACTCTTCATCTCTGTCATCATCGTCTTCACTCTCGCTGTCGGCTGCAGAGCCGGCTGACGTCAGGGCGCTGAAGTCCTCCGACACTTCACGCTGCTCCACGTCTTCCTCTGATTTCACTCGTTTGTCGTCCAGAGTGGCCGGAGAGACAATCAGATTCAACGATCTGCGCTCCTTCTACACGACTGTTCTGGGAACTGAAGGTAGAAAAAAGCAGTTTCTCTAATTTAAATAAACCTTCATGTGGATTCTTTATCTTCTGAGAGAGAGACGAGTCACCTTCCACTCACCTCACACTCGGCCTCTCTTCTTCATTTCTTGAGTCATCGTCTGTACTCTTTGGTCCCTGAAGGGGGAAGTCGCTCCGGGCTGCTCCGGGGTTCATTTGTTGCCTGAAATATTTGAAGAGTTAAAATTCAAATGACTGAAATCCTCACATGTACGATCACTCTTGTGTTAGAGGATCTTCAGACGAGCTACATCAGTATCTTCTTTTAAAAA